GGGAAGAAGGGGACAGATTATAAGATCTGTTGACTTATTATGCAAATCATGGTTACGAGCTCACACTTGTAATCTATAGCTGACTTTCTCCGTTTATTCCAATTTCCTCTCATTTCAAAAGACATGAGCGCAAGCGAGATATTAAAATACGAATATATATTAGTCGCGAAATAACTAATAATTACGTGGAATTTTCCCAGTTACCCAATTGTGTGGATGTCAAACCCCATTTTTCTCTCTAGCCAATCTTCTCCGCGTGATAAATTATACTTTAAACTAATAAATGTTTGAAACAAGTCAACGTGTAGATTTAATTGATTCGGTGGATTTTAAACAGAATGTACTTTTACGATGTGAAAAACAAATTAGATCGAAATGAAAAAAAAAATGTTGTTATAGATCTTAAAAAAGAATTGTTGTGAATGACAGGCTAATAATAATAGAATGAAAGGTATAAGAATATATTGTTAAAATGGCTGATAAACATGGTTTGTTACTCTCAGCTTGTCGCCTTGTTTAATACTCTTGTTGGTTTGTTAGTTGTAAAAATATTGACGACTCTTGTCGTACGGTTTACACGTAATAACAAGTCGTGCTCTATACTTGATATTCGTGTTAGCACAGTTCCCCCTTGCGAAACACAGCGTCAATATTTAGACGTTGTTTAACAATTTTCCCATTGTTTTAAGCTTTGGCTAGTCAAGCTTGACACCCCTACCCCCTTCCTCCCTCAAAACCTGACATGTGTGCTGTGAGAAAATACAAAAAAAGAATATATTTTTATTTCTCGCGCCATTTTTTTGTGTCTAGTTTTTGTTATTTAGATCACTGAAGTGACCAGTTCCAGGTTGAGCTCACGGTTGTGATCTCATGGGTTAAATTTGGAAAAAATATAAGAGGATTTAACAAATTCGCAGAGGTTCGGGTGTGGAGGTTACAAAGAAACGAAAAACGAAATAGTTTTGATAATTCAGGGGCAGTTCTCAGGAAAATGTTCAATTGCATGCAGGAGTCTATAATTAGAATCACATTTTCGTCATACCTCTTAAAAAAATAAAAAATATGCTAAATAGACTCGAAAACGCTTATTGTATCTAAAGAGAACGTCGCTTAAAAACAAGATAACAGTTGACACCTGTAAATGTGCCCTTTGACACCACAGATTTGTAGTAATATATTTATAGACATTTTACGACTGATAAACTACAACAAATCGATCAAAAAATAATAACATCACATTAATCTTCATGATCTAAACATGGAAACACATAAAAAACACATTATACACGATAAAATATACGATTGTGATGCAAAACACACTAGATAATCAAGTCTATAAATATACCGTGCATTAAAGGGGAACGTCATACAATCTGCAGAGAAAACGATCAATTCAGTGAGTTGAACTAATAACTATCAAAAGTGAAAAATACCAGATCCAGATGTCTTGATAATGAACAAACATTCCTGTGACTTTTAATAATCCAGATGAAATATCCAATATGAAGTGCGTCCAAAGTGACTAACACGCGTTACCAATTCGGGGCATAATAATTGTGTGAATTCAATGTATTCAGGCGCTTTGAACTTGTTCATCATATTAGATTCCTATTATATTCAAACAGGTAGGCCTATGGGTTAGTAGGGTCGGGTATCCGTGGACCACCTGATACCACGTCTTATTAATATCCTTAAACTTCACATCGCCAAAATTGTCTTTTGTGTACGAAAATGACTTTTGAGGTCGATTTCCTATTTAAGTATTCTTACACGTGTCTTGACATTCGAGTCAAAACCGCTAAAGCAAATCGGCGAAACGGGTAAAATAAATATAGTTAAAGGCACATAAAACTGTCATAAAAAATCACAATAGATTTAGACTTATGAATGAGAGCACGTTATTTCAGCTGGTGTATTCATTAATAATTACTGTCACATGCATTTCCTTATTTATATCACTCTTTCCCTAGTGCACCGTGTCACGTTCATAATGTAATATGCTTAAAGAGACATGTTGAGTTAAATGAAATTAAACACTTAAACATGTGTCATTTTATTGTTGCTATAGATTAACGATGTGGGTTTATTTTAAAAAAAAAGACTTTTCGTTTGAATGATTTTATTCATTATTTGTGTAGTTTGAGAAATAGATTGTTATATTTTGAACCCCCAGATAACCGAGAAATGTTTGTACTATGTTTTGGTCATTTCTAATTTTGTATGTTATTATTAACAACTGCATTTCCCGCGCGGAAAATATTTCTCCAGGGCAGGGACGCCAATTTGTCTTTCTTCTCTAGCATTTGTAGAATTAGACAATGGGAGGAACTGGGTATCATGGGTTGAAACATTTGTCAGGGTAGCAACATTAAATTAAATCGTCTTCCTACTCACTGTAACCAAGCAACATTTGCTTACTTAAATACAGTCAATAAGTGAAATAAGTATAAGTGGACAAAATTGCCAGGGCAGCGATGCTTATTTATCCTCCCAGTCTGCAACTACAGATAATATTTTCAGGAATACTTACAATGGTTAAAACATAAGAATGTGGGATATACAAACAATATGTATTTACGTTGTACAAAGGTCATTAAATATTAATGTCACGACGTATATATATAACCACCTGTTAAATATACTACACTACCTATATCATATATACCACACGTCACTGACAAGTATTCACACAATGTTTATCGTATATATCATCTAATCACTTATAACATCATCGAGCATCTGTCAATTAAAAAATGACAGGTACAAGGTATACTGTAAACATTATGAGGTGTCAAGAAATGAAACAACAATAAAGAAAACAAAACCAAGCTAAAAATCGATACGACATTTTCTAAATGTTGTTTCATTAAAACAAAAATCTTTCAAAAACTTGCTTCTGTTATATTATTTTTATTGGATATTATTATCGATAATAAAATAATAATAATACCGCACACCATATGGTTGGCATGCATTACCTCGGTGGTTACCGGAGGGAGGGAAAGCAATTGATAGATGATGATATTATTCAAATGAGGTCTGATAAGGGGCAATGTTTCTCCAAATAATTTAAGCGTGATTTTATGTTATTTTTCTTTGATTTATATAATTATTCTCTTCACAATTACCACGGGGATTCTCTGATATCAAATCGGCCAATAATATTGTAACATATAATTTACTATGACTACGAGAAGCAAGACTATAATTAAATATAATTACACAGTTTGTAATAATAATTTTTCACAGGGAACCCCAGCTATTCACATGACAAAGTTCTGTAATTGAATTGTACCCACGGTGGGATTTTATGAATAATTTCAGGGATCTTATTATTAAGCAATCCACGTTTCAACTTTTGACACTCTTTAGAATGGCGAAGTAATAAAAGGGCATTAATGTCAGAATAGCTTATACACTCGGTCACCCCGAGTCATTTGAAAGCAACAAATTTCATTCTTTTCTCTCCATTACTCTGCAATAAAAGGCGTCAATAGATTCTACCTTTCACTATATTCATATACAATATATTGTGTGGTCGTTTTTAGTATTTTTGTGTGAGCGCTTGGAATACTGAATGCATATTAAGATTAGCTATACAGTTATTAGTGGTTTTGCTATATAAAGTTTATGCTACACATGTATTCGTGTATACTATTTTGCCGTTACTCGAACAAACATATGTTATTTCCATTCATGCATAGCAAAGACTTCTCTAAAACAAAAATATAGAAACATGCCTTACTTACCAATGTCAGTTTCAATTTCGAAAACTGGCATGTCCTTGAAAATAAAGATTTCTAAAGTTAAGTTTATGTAAATATTTATACGCATAAATTTCTCTACTGTGCAAATTGAGGAATAATCTTCATTATAGAATGATCATTAATGATAATAATATTGTTCAAAGTGAATAACATTTCTACATTTGAGGGGAAAATACTATAGAGTACGACAACGGTTTTCATTATCTAGAATAATTCTAGCGTGATGCATATATCCATATGCGCAACAATTCAGATATAATTAAGAATCTTTCATGTTTTGGTACTCATGTGTGGGAGTATTGAATCTTTTTAGTCTCTAAAACATTGTATTCTTTTTTCATTCGCCTTTTAAAGGACTTTATCATGAGATAAAATATATATGACCTTATAACATCCTCAGAAACAGTCTCATATCTTAAAGGAGGAAAAAAATATATAAATTGGATCTTTTAGTCAAGTATCTTTTGATGTCATCTTTCATTTCTATCTTATTTTCTATTCTATACAAAAAGCGTACAGGAATGTAGATATTTTCTATTTCTTAGTATAAAGCAATCTAAGAAACGGGCTGTGCATATTTACAGAAAAGGCTCCTAATTTTCCTCCACAATAACAAATTTGAGAGCATGGTGAAAGAGGTGACCGAGGTTTTAATAAATTTGGCAGAGTTTTGTTTAGATTTGGCCTGCAGGGTTAGCCCAGCAACACTACACTTGTGTTTTGATTTCGCTGTGTCAAGTAAAGCTCAACTCTGGTTTGTACGAATCTCTTGTGTGAAATATTGAATGGAGACAATGAGAAGCTATTAAACCCTGCTTACTAGAGTGACATTAGGTAGATTAAAAAGCAATACAGAGTGGGGATGGCTTCTCCTTTCGCATGAATAACAAGAAACGCGATATCGTCTGCCAGATGCGTACGCATATATTTGACATAGTTAGATGGCCATTGAGGTAACTGTCTCAATTTGCATATATAGGCCTTAGTGAAAACAAGAATTTTATGAGCCGGTTATCAATGTGCGATGGCACGCTGAGCTAAAAATCATTACCACTTATACTGCTTTAATCAAGCAAATTTTGTGGTCAATCGTCCCTGAAGTAACATTTTCGCCGAGGGAAGAGAACGGAACAGCCCCAGTGCAGATTGGACCAATCACTACCTAACAGATTGGTATGCATAGTATTTCATTGGTTCGTTGACCTGTTGTAGTTTCAAGATCCCCGCCTTACCGTCAGAAGCTTTGTTGGGTTGTGGAGCAGATGGAATTTTGGGTCTCGCGAAACAGTGAAATGCGTTTGTCTGTTTGAAAGTACTCTCACAAAGGCAGCCATGATCCTATGACGAGAAGTATGTGGAGTATATCGTGTGAATAAGCGAGGGATATTTAGCCATGTTCATAATTCAGTAAATAACAGTATTTCTATCGGTAATTTATAATAAGTCACTGGAAGTAGCAGCGAGGAGAGGTTTATTCCAAGATGGCGAGAAAGGACTTGTGTACGAGAGTGTTATCAATAACATTAGTGGCTTTGTTACTGGGAATAGAAAATAAAGGTCGTGTATTCAGCAGTCAGGCTTATACTAGGATAACAGACCAAGCCCTAGCGCCACACGGTAAATGCGAACCGATCACTATACCACTTTGTAAAGATATTCAGTATAATGAAACTATTATGCCAAATTTGTTAAACCACCAGAAACAGGACGACGCGGGTTTAGAAGTTCATCAGTTTTTCCCATTGGTAAAAGTACAGTGTTCGACACAGCTGAAATTTTTCCTCTGCACAATGTACGTTCCTGTGTGTACGGTTTTAGAAGATGCTATCCCACCCTGCCAGTCGCTGTGCAATCAAGCTCGGGATGGATGCGAAAGTTTAATGAATAAGTTCGGTTTCCAGTGGCCAGACAGCTTAAAATGTGAAAAATTCCCCCAAACTGGATTATGTGTTGGAGAAAATACAACAGAACCAACCACACAGAAAACTCCGACAGCAAAACCAGGAAATCCCAATGTTCCAGGGCGTGGTGGCGGCGGCACATATAATCCAGACCGTCCTGGGTCAGGCGGAGGATCAACTGGTTCTCACGACGTAAATATTTCTAGAGACTTTGGTTTCAGTTGCCCTGATGAATTAAAAGTTCCCAAAGGTTTTGATTACAACTTAAAAGTTGGTCACCACCTTGAAAGAAACTGTGGGTCACCCTGCTATAACATGTTTTTTAAGTCAGAAAAAAGGGAGTTTGCACGTTGGTGGATTGGTGTTTGGTCATGCATTTGCCTAGCCTCAACTCTTTTCACCGTTCTGACTTTCCTGATTGATATGCAGAGATTTAGATATCCAGAGAGACCCATCATTTTCTTATCTGGATGCTATTTCATGGTTGCCATGGCCTATGTGGTTGGATTTGCTCTCAGGGAAGAAGTGGGCTGTATGGAACCTTTTGAACCTCCAAATGATAAAATCATGAAAGAAAGCATGGTTCCAATTATTACTCAAGGAACCAAAAAGGAAGGATGTACCATTTTGTTCATGATGTTATATTTCTTTAGTATGGCCAGTTCTATTTGGTGGGTTATTTTAACCCTCACATGGTTTTTGGCTGCAGGAATGAAATGGGGACACGAAGCCATTGAAGCCAACTCACAGTATTTCCATCTAGCCGCCTGGGCAGTTCCTGCAATTAAGACCATTGCAATTTTGGCAATGGGACAGGTCGACGGAGATGTTCTTAGTGGGGTTTGTTTTACAGGAATATTCGATGTGGATGCGCTTCGTGGATTTGTCTTGGCACCTCTAGTTGTGTATCTTATCATCGGAACATCATTTTTATTGGCAGGATTTGTGTCACTGTTCCGCATCCGAACAATTATGAAAAGTGACGGTACAAAAACCGACAAACTTGAAAAATTGATGGTGCGCATTGGAATATTTTCAGTACTGTATACCGTACCTGCCACAATTGTCATAGCTTGTTACTTCTATGAACAGTCTTTCCGTGAAAATTGGATGGTGACCTGGTGGGCCACAACATGTAAAGGCTACCACATCCCCTGTCCGTTCGATCTTAAATCCAAACCGTGGCCAGACTTTAACGTGTTTATGATCAAATACCTCATGACTGTTATTGTAGGAATAACATCAGGAGTTTGGATTTGGACAGGAAAAACCTTCATGTCGTGGAGGAATTTTTATGGACGTATTTTTTCACCAAGAGGTAATGAATCCGTAGTCTGAAGACAATCCATGACTTAAATGGTTTTAGCTTAAAACAAACCATAAAACGGTTACAGGGCCCCCTCCTGAACCGGGAGGGTTGTCAATCGTCCAACAGAGAAAGCTTTAAATTATTGGATATTTTACAAACAAAAGACAATCAAAGTGATAGGAATCACTGAAAATATTTTTTCTATCTGAAAACACCAGTGTTGGCTTAAGGTGTTCAAATGTGGAACATTCACCATTTTTGGGTAAAGACAGATATAATGTATTAAATGGTGCTATCGTTTCAGAAACAGGGTTTTTAGGAACAAGAAAGATACTATTTCCTTGAAAATCTGGATTCATAATCTGAAATGCTTTTACCAGATTGTCTTAGTGCGGTGTTGTTGAGTGATATGGCATCAGTCTTGATGAGAGAGTTAGACCCAGAACTTCACTCTACAACCCATATTAATAGTCTTTCCTACAGACTGTCTAGTTTCTTAGTTCTGGTTTACATGTATACATAGGCACCAATTCCATGGTAGGCTAGTTCCTGATATTTTGAAATGGAATCCACCTGTGTATCTGCTATTCTTGTAGAAACCTTTATTTGGTACCAGTGTTGTAAATGTCAATTTGTGAGACCAACATCAATAAATTGGTTTGAAACGAATTGAAAACATAGCCGCGCTACGTCAACCATGTGTTGTGATTCAAATCTGATTTTATTTTTGGGCAAATTACTAAATAAGCTTACAGAAAACAATTTAATACTGGTATTTGTTAAATACTGCAAATTTTATTTTATCTTTGATTTGTAATTCATTTGATCTAAGCGGCAAGAAAAGAGTCTGGTTTTAAAGGTGTCCCAAATTAGTGCTTTTCAAAGAAAGTTCAAATTTCTAATTATAAAATCTTTTCTACTTATTGTGGTATTGGTGCAATCAAAAGTTTTGATTTTGGCTCAAAATGTGGGTTTTCATTTTTTTTTTTTTCGCTTTGTGATTTTATTTATCAGGGATTCTAAGAACAATAATATTGAGACTTTCTGAAATTTGTTATTTGTCCTAATTTGAAGGTCACTTGTACTTTTTTCAGAAATGTCTTGAACACAAAAGAAAATTCTAATTTTCTTTGATCAAAGCATGAAATGTTTCAACTGTTGACAAAAAATGGATATTTGTGATGAACTTGTAATATATTTTTCCATTTTTGGAAGATAATGAATATTTTGTGTATTATTGGTTCCAGAACTACAATATTGGAACTCAGACATTTTTCACTATGTGTGAATTACAATAAACAGTGGAGTATTACCTATATATAATTATTATTATTATTAATGTGAACATATTAATATAAAACTTTTGTTAATATATTATTATATTCTTGTGCTAAAGAGAAACAGTTTGTGTATAATAGGCCGATGTAGTTACATGTTTCCTCTGTGTGTGACGTATATACATGTAAAATGTGTCATGTTCAGAAGTTCTTGACAAAAACAGTTCTTCAATCTCGAAATAATACATTCAAACAGTGAAGATTTTTAAATGTGGATTAAATATTTTAAAATTTTTGTGGTCACAGAATTTTTAAAGAAATGTGTTTTAATATGGAGAACTACGAATTCAAAGACTAGTGTGGATAAAACCAATTTTGTAAATATTTTGTAATTTTAATGTGTATTAAGACCTGAATGAGAGCTGAGTTTTATTTTAATACAAGTTAAACCCATTGTTTCACCTATAAACTATACAATTTCATTTCAGAAGTTTTTAATTATATATTTAAAGATTTATATACATGTACTGTAGGTATAAAACTACAGTATTATTTTAATATATTTAGTACCCTCCAGTTATTGGAAGTATTTTTATAAGATTTATTGATCATGTAGTGGTTCTGTGAAATAATCCATGATTTTGATTATCTACATAATATTTGGTCAGGTTCCTTCATTAAATACCCAAAATGTGAGTCAATATTGCATTTATCCAACTTACAGCAAGGCAGTTTGTCGTGGTTAGTATTTTCATCTACATCTTATGCCATTATGTATAGATTGTAATTTTTCAACATTTAATATTGTCAGAAACTCTCTTGAACCATCAAAATCTGTCAATAATCTTGAATGCTTCCAAAAAGTTTGAATTTGATATTTTGATCTGGCAAAAATTGTTTGATGTTCATAAGTCAGAAAATGTAAAACTTGTGTTTCATTTATAGGGTCTGAAATCCAACATTTGAAAAAAATCCATTTATTTAAAGAGACTATAAATGTCTATTTGAATGGCATGTAAATGAATTCTAGAAATTTTTGATATGCTTTATGGACATGCATTATTTTGTAATGAATCAATCTAAAGCATTTATTTCATCAGCCATATTTCTACAAAAGTAAATGACAATTAGCCCCAACTTGACATATAGTGCAATGACCTTCATATATTGGCTGTGTTCAGGGTTCTTCTAATTAATGTTCTATATTGATATATTATTACATGTATATAAGTCATTATTATTTAACCATTGTTCATTAATTAGTATTTCTGTTAATTAATGGTTTCATGTTCATTAATAAGGGTTATTGTTGAAATAAAACTCAGTATGTACAAGTCTTAGTACTCTATGTAATGTTATATTATGTATGATACTAAATAATTCAAGTAAATAAATAAATAACCAAATAACTTATATACAAATCTTTTACATTTTATACTTGAAAAATCCTATATAGATTTTAGGGGGCATTTTGCCAAGGAAAATATTCATATATGTATATGACTTTAAAGGGACATTTTGCTAAGTAAAATATTTGATTGAAAAGATGAAATATTATTTCAGGAGGTTTTTTTGTTTTAGTCACTGACAATCTTCGTTTTCTTATTGAAATTTCCCTTTTTAAAGTACAATGTATGATCAATGGAGATGCATTTCTTGTGGGTTTCTTTGGTTTTACGAGAAACTGTAGACAAAATACTCCTGTGTACCTGCTGCTGTTCATACAAAAGTTCCCTTATACCACACTGCATGGTGATCTTCATTAACCCAGTTGGTTTATGAAAGTAGGGGCCTTAAAATTAAACGCCATTCCATATCAGAAAAGTAGACCGTTGATCCCTATTTCATGTCATAAAAGTTACATAATACATGTAGTTGCATATATTTTTGGGGGGGTCACAAGAAACTATAAAAAATATGACTGGGGAAATTTTTGAGGTGAAGGGTGAAACTGCAGAAAAGATGCAGTTGGGTGATGCTTTCTTTGGGGTCACAAGAATAGGTAGTCATTGGTATTACTGCTGCCCTAGTTACGATATCTTGTCTGTGTATGCTTTTAATGTTTATGTAATTTAGCAGATAAATGTGTTTGTGTTAGATATACATGTACATGTATGTAGAGTGTTCAACCCGAATACAAAATCAGTATCACACAGCCATCACCATTACCCCTGTTGCAGTTAAAAAAGTTTAAACTCCATTTCATTTCAAACATGCAAAGTGTTGATGTACTGTGTGAAAAGAAAGAGAGAAATGGGGTTTAACGTCCACTCGACACAAACCAGGTCATTTCAGGACTTAACATATGGTTTAATTTTATTTCAACCATTAGCCTGCATGTAGGGGTCGGTCTTTAGCAGTGGGAGGACCCGGAGAAAACCCACGTGGTTGAACAGGCTACTCTACTAATCACGTCGAAAACATACCACTTGACTCAATGACAGACCTTGTGATTTCACGCACACGTTACCCCCCCCCCCCCCCCCACACACACACACACACACACACTGTACAAAAAAATATGCGATATTTTGCCCAGGATGTACTTACATGTATATATTTAGAATCTACACATCTGGATGCTTTTGTACTAACTATCTGCATCAAATCAAACTAAAATTATTTTGGATATTTGATGGATTGGGATTATGGATAAATTCTGTGGTTTGAATTGATGAGCGTCAATGTGACAGTTTGTTTGGAAGTGCAATGGAATATTGTCTAACTATTGGCATGTTATTAATAGATCACCGTTGTCTGTCAATATTGGTACGCCGGTTATATTTTCCACACATTCATGGTTTATCGTTGAACATGAACACAACTGGTACATCATTTGACTTGACAGGAGGAGGAAGGCCGACATGATAAACATCAGACGACGTAATAATAACTTTCAGTGGCGTATATTTATATCTTTGTACCGTTTATAATCGGGTTGCACAACGTGGTTTTAAATTACCAGAAAACCAGTAATAATCACCTATTAGTTCATTTTCTGGCGTGCCCCCTCACCCAACCCTTGTTAGTGGTGTAAAACCTTGCTCCTGGCAAGGGACAACGTGTAGTTGTTCGGATGGAACGGAAAACCGATGTCCCGTATAGACAGTTTCGAATTCGAAATAAGAATATGCTGTAGCGAAGCTGTCAGGGCAAAATTTCCCTCATAGCACACTGCATAGCGTATGTCCGTGTCCATTAGGACAAACAGTCTTTGAAGAAAAGTAGGACGTTAAACTTTATTTCATTTCAGAAAATTAATTTAAAAAAAAGCTCAATACTTCCTGAATAATTCCAGACGAACACGATAGTTTGCAATAAGATAAAAATAGCCACGCTATTCTCGAGTTTCTCAGAAATGTCAAGATTTTTAAATGAAAATACAAGTCTTTTTATTAATAATGTCTAATGTGACAATGTTAGACATATATAGATATATTGTTTCCATAGCAACAAGACATTTCGTAATCATTACATCAGGTGTCACTGTTAATGTATATACATATTTGCCGAACTTTTCTAGCCATAAAACACGGATGTCGTTCTACAATGGCATATATCAGTTGTAAAAACACAGCCGAAAGGGCTGGTAGTTACTATGTGGGAGTCTCAAATTAAAAATCTAGAGAGAACAAGGTATTAGATGTTTAAAAAAGAGTACCTCGTACAATAATATTTATAGATATATATCTTATCGGGTAGTTAGGCTATATAACCAACTCAGTTGCAATTTTTTTATTGTCTGAAAATAAACTTATAGAGCCTTAAAATTGGCGGACTTTATCATTTGAGGAACCTACAAATTTGGCACTCACCACCAGTATTTCAGACGAAGTTATGCGGTTATTACGTTTTCTAAATTTACATTTGTAAAGTAAGGCCTGCAGTCGTCAAATATTTCTTGAAGGCATATCCAACGTTTGCATTGAATAATCAATTATCTTTCATTTCCCTTTACAAATTTTCTTCTTAGAATTTTGTGTCGACTTTGATAATACACGAAATTCAGCAGGAGAAATCTTTTATTGGCTTTCTATTATAAAATCCAAATTATCCATTGCCAAATTCCCCCAGCTTACATATGAATCAGAGGCAAGAAGAGAAATCATTATTGACTCGAGGTGTTTTGAATTGAATTTCTTGCCAGTAATAGAATGGGTAACATTTTGCGAAGCAGTTCGGTCGACTAGCGAGTGACCACAAGCGCTATTATTGATGTTTTAGACATTAATCAAGCGGATACAAATCTCTAGTCTCGATCTATAAGGCTCTCTGAATCAATACAGACTGCAGACTGAGATTGTTCGGACTGAACTATCTTAAATGAAACTGAAACCGTCTAATGGACAACATTTTCGATAATGCAATAATATTACCGTTTTCGTGAGCAAAATGTTCCCGGTTGAAATCCCTTCACACAAACCAGATCAATCCGTGATTAGAGGAGCGACACCTCTTAACTCAATATTTTCCATAATATTCGAAATTAAAAACATAAATTATAATTCAATAATGCTCCACGTCTATCCATATTGATGTTGATATCTTACTGTGAAAATAACCGATCCTAATATCCGATATTGAAGACACGGTAAACATTTTAAAATCAGCACACGACGACATGTACTCTATTTTTTCTACAGTATAGCTGATTTACAAACGACAAAATAATAATAGAAAAAAAAAACGTGTAGACTAAGACGGCGCTAACGACTGTCGTTCACTTTGTACAATATAAGCATTTCACAGAACATAACTGAGGATAACGTTAACTAGGCACTAAAAGACTGGTCGCTTCGCTACTATTTAACGGTATATTTTTATAATAAGAGAGAGACAGGGGGGGGGGGGGAGACTAAACGTAATAATTCGCGAAATGGAAGAAAACCAGAGAACCCCGAAAAAGTAATCATTGTCCTTTTAAATAGGCCTGGGATCACAACACTTGATTCAATTCCAGTCAATCATACATGCAACGCATGCGTTAAAAGTCTCAACCCAACCTATTACCATAACAGTCAACTTTGATCAGTTAATTATTATATCTTAAAGACGCGTTATATCTTACAGTCCAAAAATGAATGTTAAACAGTTTACATCTCGGCGGTGGATTAGGAGGTATGTTTCAGATTCTCCATTCACTCTGTATTGAACACACACGATTAACTGCATAGTTTAATTGGAATTTATGTTTTTGTCGGCCGGCGAATAGCGATGATGCCACTTTAAACCCCGTAAATATTTCAGTATGACGAAGTCTGCTAAAGCAGTCAAGGTAGCAGGTCTACGTCGTAATAGATTTGTCAATATAATATATTATATAGTGGATCAGAATCTACAAATACATGAAGCTGATTGTGATGCTACTGCCTTGACAAAATTGGCCGCCATGGCTCCTTAAAACTGATATACAGATAAATTTATTGAAATGAGTAATATAATTGATGAACATGCCATGAAGTAGGTACTGGAGAAATTCAACACCAGTTGAAAACCAGAAAAATAAAATTGCACAAGCCGTTAATTAAATGTGCTGACTAAACCACGCTTTTAAAAAAAATTAACAGGAAGAAAAACATGAGCGCTAACGAGAAAACGGTAGTTATCGAAAGCGTCTAGTAAATCAAGGCTAATATGAGTCATTCAATGCACGTTTAGAAAAGTAGAATGACACGAGAAGTAGAAGATATATTAACTTCAGGTCGTAGTGTCTGGCTATACACGTCTTCGTATACTAACATCCAGCTGTTTTCCTTTGTAATTTTATGACCCAAAGTTAAAATTTTACAATCAATGGCTAGATATATGGCCATTAACGTACACGGTTTATGGCTAATGGCGGATTTGACCTGCTCAGCAGATAAGTCTTGTGGCGAATTTTAATGGTTGTTAAAGGTCATAGATTTTTTAAGGGAAATAAGGGAATAGCGTATAAAATAATGACACTTCTTCTCCGCATAATATTTGGTATTTTACGGTCTTTTTTATGATTAAATGCCTAATTAGCCCTGCATGAGAATAGGGCAGAATATGAATTGTCATTGCTCATTCTTTTACGAGACACTTGAGGGTGCGGGCTTTAATTCATTTTAAACACACGATATTTAATGGCAATTTAAAAAATGGAATTAATTAGGTGTAAAAAATTAATAATAATGATTATGACAGATGTTTACTAAGGAAAGCTTCTGTGGTTGATTAGAGAAATTTTATCTTAAAACAAAAACAGGGTGAAAATATCCCGATGATAACATGTTTCTTAAATGTGGCCTTTTCCGTCGCCATTGTTAAAATTACAAATATATTGGTTATTTACTAAAGGAAGCAACGGTGGCGCTGAGTATGGCGATTAGTCACTAATAAGGAGGTCCGGAATTTTCCGGCGTGATTTCTCCTTGTCAGGACTGTTTTATGGCGGAATTCTCCATTGCGGGGGAATATTTAAACAACTGATTTGTTCACCTGTCGCTGATAGGGACGTGGTACATTTGAAATCAAATGAAATGGGGTTAACGTCCAACTGTTCGGATCTGACTGGTGGTACATTTAAAA